CGGTACATCTTACGTTACTGTTATGTCAATTCGTGTGCGACGTTCCTAAGGACCTCCACATACAATTGACATAACAGTAACGTAAGACGTACCGTAAGAATTGACCAATTACGATCGAGTATTAATCAAAATGGCGACCTTACGGTTCGACGATTTTCAATGTAATTGGTCAATTCTTACAGTACATTTTATGTTACTGTTATGTCAATTTGTGTGTGAAGGTCCTAAAGGTCCTCATACATGAAATGACATAACTGCATGTGCATAGCATAAGACTGTATGGACCAATAAGCACTGAGTATTTAGCCGCCATATTGATGCTTGATGCTCAATACTCGATGCTCATTGGTTCATATGCTATGCACATGCAGTTATGTCATTTCATGTGTGAGGGCCTTAAGAGCCGTGGCACACAGAAAAACTTAAGCAGTAAGACGTAAGCAGTAAGTAAATTGACTAATCACAGTCGTTGATTCTTGGACCGTAAGAAAAATCAGCGACTGTGATTGGTCAATTTGCTTACTGCTTACGTTTTACTGCTTAAGTTTTTCTGTATGCCTCTAGTCTAAAGGGACGTCTACATTGGAAGTAAACAGTAAGAAGTAGGAAATAAGAATAAGAAATTGACCAATCATAGTTGATTATTCTTCTCAGATTCAACTGTGGTTGGTCAATTTCTTACTCTTACTTCCTACTTTTTGCTATGCCCTTGAAGGGACGTCTACATTAGAAGTAAGCAGTAAGAAGTAGGAAGTAAGAATAAGAAATTGATCAATCATAGTTGATTATTCTTCTCACATTCGACTGTGGTTGGTCAATTTCTTACTCTTACTTCCTACTTCTTGCTATTTACTTCCAATGTAGACGTCCCTTTATGCGTAGTCTACAATGGCAGTAGGAGTAGTAGTAAGAAATAAGTAGTAAGCAAATTGACCAATTCCATTCTCACGTTTAAAAAATAATCGATTGTGATTGGTCTGTTTACTTACTGCTTATTTCTTACTACTTTACGCATTATGCGTCGTTTACAATGGCAGTAGGAGTAGTAAGAAATAATCAGTAAGCAAATTTACCAATTCCATTCTCACGTTTCAAAAATAATCGATTGTGATTGGTCTGTTTACTTACTGCTTATTTCTTACTACTTTACGCATTATGCGTCGTTTACAATGGCAGTAGGAGTAGTAAGAAATAATCAGTAAGCAAATTTACCAATTCCATTCTCACGTTTCAAAAATAATCGATTGTGATTGGTCTGTTTACTTACTGCTTATTTCTTACTACTTTACGCATTATGCGTCGTTTACAATGGCAGTAGGAGTAGTAAGAAATAATCAGTAAGCAAATTTACCAATTCCATTCTCACGTTTCAAAAATAATCGATTGTGATTGGTCTGTTTACTTACTGCTTATTTCTTACTACTTTACGCATTATGCGTCGTTTACAATGGCAGTAGGAGTAGTAAGAAATAATCAGTAAGCAAATTTACCAATTCCATTCTCACGTTTCAAAAATAATCGATTGTGATTGGTCTATTTACTTACTGCTTATTTCTTACTACTTTACGCATTATGCGTCGTTTACAATGGCAGTAGGAGTAGTAAGAAATAATCAGTAAGCAAATTTACCAATTCCATTCTCACGTTTCAAAAATAATCGATTGTGATTGGTCTATTTACTTACTGCTTATTTCTTACTACTACTCCTACTGCCATTGTAGACGACGCATAAGGCCAGTATTCATAGTCGAATCTTATTTCAAGACCGTCTTAAGTAATAGTCTTAAAATGCGAATACAGCTCTGTGATTGATTCATGACATCTTAAGATGATCTTATGATTAAGTACTTAAGATGATCTTAAATATAAGATCGGACTATGAATACCGGCCTAATGGCTTCTGCACAGAACGCGGTAATGCTTGCCGCGCGGCGCAAGTTCGTGCGACAGCCAATCAATATGCTGCTTTCCGTAATAACCTTCTAGCTCTTACGGAAAAACAATATTTTGATTGGTTGTCGCGCGGACTTTCGCCGCGCGGCAAGCATTACCGCGTCCTGTGTGCAGGAGCCATAAATGTCGCAAGCGCGACGAAACGAAGTTCCGCAGGACTGCAAACGATATCCGCGGTGCTCGAAATATCACTGAAGAAAACGTCCACGCAAGGTTGCGTTCCAAAACTCTACTCGACGGGTAGAGTAGCATTTAATTAACCAATAAGAAAAAAGATAACTAGGATTTCTTTATCATGATTGGTCAATTAAATGCACTCTACCCACCGAGTGGAATTTTGGAACGCAGCTCAAAGGTGGAGGCTGCAGAGTAATCTCGCGAATTTTTCTTCTCAACCAGTTGGTAATATCGAGGAAGTGAAGGAACAATGGCTGCATTCAGTAGACTCAACAGTTGCACAACAGTTGAGTAATTTGTCAATGTAATTGGTCTAGATTTAGGGATCTAATAGCAAGAACCAATAATCGTTGATTGCTCACTGAGCGCTTTTTCTACTGAATGCGCCCAATGATGAAAGAATAGTGAGAGTGCGAGCGTAGCACAGTAGTCTAGCATGCTAGAAGTCCCGGGTTCGCGATACCCAGTAGAAAATTTTCATATGCTAGTACTTCTCTCGGAAGGCAATAGCAAAACCTCCGAGAATATAGGATAAGTTAAATATTTAGGATAAGAAGAGTTTGTAAGGAAAACGAAAAGAGGAAAGAGTAAAATGAAACGAATGTGAAGGAAGTTTGTTCAAATAATCTCTTGTCCACAAACTTGCTTTAATTTTTAAGCCGTAAGAAATTGACCAACCACAGTTCATTATTTTTAAAATAATCGACCGTGGTTGGTCAATTTATTACGGCTTAAAGATTAAAGCAAGGTTGTGGATAAGCCTTCTTGGCTAAATGTAAAAGCTGAAATAATAAAGTTTTTTCTTTTGAAAGAATATAGTGAAAAAAACACCAAAAATAACCTCGCCGAACAAGCGTCCGTATAGAGGGCGGCGTAATGTGCTACGAAACAGACACTTTGAAAAAACTTCGAACAGTCACTCGCCCCGATTTATACAGGATGTCCTAAAACCACCGGAATTGCTCTTAATGGTAGATTCCTTACAATATTTTAAGAAGAAAATTCTAATACAAAAATGTCGAGGCTATAATAGCTTTTAAACGGGAAGCGATTACATTTAACGAATGGCAGAGCTGAGATTTCACGCGCTCAGGTACGGAAAAATGACAAATGCAAAAAGTGCTCCTATTAATGGGGTGCTCTTTTTATGATATTATTGTCATATAAGTTTACAATATGTTTTCGCTTCTCTATGTATTGCATATTAATACATTTTTTCACAAATAAAAGATGTAAAAACTAAAGGCATATCAAAAAGAATTCAAATAAAAATTTGCATATTTCAATTTGAGCTGTCAAAGTCATCGATTAACATTACTATAAAAGTGTCCACGCTACGCTGTGCGAGACAAATAAATTGTAATAGAATTAATAGCTGTTTATTTTGTATTTTAAAACATTTTTAAATGTTCGTAACGAAATACAAATTGCAATGGTTAGTAAAAATCAATTTAAACAATAATTATAATTCAAACATATTTAATAAATCTTAATTTAACACACTTTAAAAAATTAACACTGTTAACATATTTAACGAATTTTAATAACAACAAAACAGTTCAACAGATTAAATAACAAATTAAAATATTTTTTATAATAAATGTTTAAAGTGCCCACTATCGCATTTAATACATAATTGTGCGGGTCACAATAGACTGCTTGTTGCGTTTATAATTATGTTTGGTGTTATTTCAACAATTTTACCTTACAATTCCTCGTGATTATTAACTGGCTATTTATGTATACATGTTTTTTAGTATGATCGCATATTAAAGAATATGTGTACAAGAAACCAATTAATATTCACGAGGAATTACGAGACAAAATTGTTGAAGCAATCGCCACCAAACGACACCAAACATGATTAGAAACGCAACAAGCAGTCTACTGCGACGCGCACAATTGTGTATTGAATGCGATGAGGGACATTTTGAACATTTATTATAAAAAATATTTTAATTTGTTATTTAATCTGTTAAACTGTTGTTATTAAAGTTCATTAAATATGTTAAAAGTGTTAATTTTTTAAAGTGTGTTAAATTAAGGTTTATTAAATACGTTTGAATTATAATTATTGTTTAAATTGATTTTTATTAAAACCATTGCAATTTGTATTTCGAACATTCAAAAATGTTCTAAAATACAATAACAATGTTCTAAAATAAAACATATAAATAAACAGCTATTAATTCTATTACAATTTATTTGTCTCGCACAGCGTAGCGTGGACACCTTTATGGTAATGTTAATCGATAACTTTGACAGCTCAAATTAAAATATGCAAATTTTTACTTGAATTCTTTTTGATATGCCTTTAGTTTTTACATCTTTTATTTGTGAAAAAATGTATTAATATGCAGTACATAGAGAAGCGAAAACATATTGCAAATTTATATGACAATAATATCATAAAAAGAGCGCCCCATTAATAGGAGCACTTTTTGCATTTGTCATTTTTCCGTATCTGAGCGCGCGAAATCTCAGCCCTGCCATTCGTTAAATGTAATCGCTTCTCGTTTAAAAGCTATTATAGCCTCGACATTTTTGTATTAGAATTTTCTTCTTAAAATATTGTAAGGAATCTACCATTAAGAGCAATTCCGGTGGTTCTAGGACACCCTGTATAACCGCCGAGTTGAGAATTAACCGCGAGTGACGGTCCGATGAAACCGTCGCCGCGACGTGACTACGGCGCGAAGCAGCGCTAAGAGGCGGATATCTGCGAATACCGCGGTGCCTGGGGCACGGCCGCCTGCCGTACTTTGCCCGTACGGAACAAAAACGATCACTTTTCTCTTCTCAATATGTTTTCCGTATACATTCGCTAGTTTCCTGTTTTCTAGAAGTTAAATTTTAATTTTTTTTTGCAGCCAGATGCAACCGAGCATGTTGCTGAAATTGCTACGGAAATTGACTGTTGATGTGTCGAAATTGTCAGAGTACACCACTGTAGCTCTTAGGGTACGTTGACTGTTTCATTATTCAGTGAAACGTTTTTACCTTATTCTTTTATTTTGTATATTAATAATTAATATAATTGCGACAAAAAGATATATTTTTACAAATTCATTATTTTCCTCCTTTATAGAAATATCATACTAAGAATCATTGATAATTACTTATTATCCAGTATTTTTAATACTGAAAATAAGTAATTATCAATGATTCTTAGTATGATATTTCTATAAGGGCTTATCATGAAAATTTCTATCCATGATTTTTAATTGCTCTTTTTTGTAATTGTTATTAATTTAACTGTTATATACTTTATTATTATATTTATTATTTATCATTTATAATTTCTTTCGTTATGTTTTCAGTTGCTAACGTTGCATTACGATCGTTGCGCAAAATATTACGGCTCCACTGGTTCCACGGGTCAAGGCTCGTACGGGGCATCGAGCGACGAGGAGAAACGCCTCACGATGGTTCTCTTTAGCAATATATTCGACTCTTTGTCTAAAATGGACTACGATCCCGAATTGTTCGGAAAAGCGCTGCCTTGCCTGACTGCTATCGGCTGTGCTTTACCGCCGGATTACTCCCTCTCGAAGAATTATGACGACGAGTGGTATGGCAGCAAGTCGGCCTCGACTCAATCACCCGACGGGCCTTATAATCCACAACCAATCAACACCTCCAGGTTAGTAACTGTTAATTTTTAATTTTATAGTTATACGACGTTTGCATTGTTAATATTTGACCGAATTAGAATTGGTAATTATAAAACTTAGAAGAATGTAATGATTCGCGTATTTGACGCTTTGTCATAATTTCATTCCAGCGTGGTGTTGAACAACGATCTTAATCAGATAGTACAAAAGTTCTCGGAGCATTATCACGATGCTTGGGCTAGCCGGAAGTTGGAGAACGGCTGGACTTACGGTGAACAATGGTCGGATACTAACAAGACCCATCCGCGATTAAAGCCATACAATATGCTGACCGATTATGAACGAGAACGGTACAAAGAACCTGTTAGAGAAAGCTTGAAGGCTTTATTGGCGATTGGTTGGAGCGTGGAACACGCGGAGGTCGATGTGCCGTCGACCAATCGTAGTTCCATGAGAAGATCTTCCAAGAGTCAAGTAAGAGATCGTCTAGAAAATGTATCGCATATTTGCGAGAGAAAAACACATACCTACATGTATTTTTCATTGTACAGGGCGACTCGGGAAATCCATTTAATTACAATCCTCACCCGGTGGACATGACGAATCTGACGTTGAGCAGAGAAATGCAGAACATGGCCGAGCGGTTGGCAGATAACGCTCATGATATTTGGGCTAAGAAAAAGAAGGAAGAACTTATTACTTGTGGTTGGCAATAAACTAACGTTTAATATAGCCTACTCACAATTATATGAAAATTACAGCAGTCACATCCTGCTTTAGATTCTTTTATTACTCGATTCTTATTCAAATTTAAACATTTTATTTATTGAATAATTTGCTGATAATATATATTTATATATATATTATAATAAATAAATATTATAATATATATTAATATATATTTATTTATAATATATTTTACGACTATATACAGGAGGTGGCATTCATCCTCAGCTGGTACCCTACGATCTTCTGACCGACAAAGAAAAGCGGAAGGATCGCGAGCGATCGCAAGAGTTCCTTAAATACTTGCAGTATCAAGGCTACAAGCTTCACAAGCCTAATCGCGGCGGTACCGAGACCGAAGTGGCCGGTGCGGTCGCTTCGGTGGAGTTAAGATTCGCTTATTCGTTGTTGGAGAAGCTAATAGCGTATCTGGACAAGGCGACAATTAACATGAAGCTCTTGAAGCCTTCCGACACGTTTAGCCGTAGGAACAGTTTCAAAACCTCCACTAGAGACATCAAGTTCTTCAGCAAAGTGGTGTTGCCGTTGATGGAGAAGTACTTTAGCACGCACAGAAATTACTTCATCGCCGTTGCCACTGCCACGAACAACGTTGGCGCAGCGTCCTTAAAGGAAAAAGAGATGGTGGCTGCGTTGTTCTGCAAGCTGGCGAGTTTACTGCGATCGAGGCTCGCCGCCTTCGGCGCGGATGTGAGGATAACGGTGCGTTGTCTACAAGTGCTTGTGAAGGGCATTGACGCTAAAAGTCTCGTGAAGAATTGCCCGGAGTTTATCAGGACGTCTATGTTGACTTTCTTCAACAACACCGCCGACGATCTGGGACATACGATTTTGAATCTTCAAGAGGGGAAGTACAGTCATCTCAGAGGCACTCATTTGAAGACTTCGACGTCGTTGTCGTACGTCAATAGCGTGGTTCTACCGGTGCTTACTGCGATGTTCGATCATCTCGCTGCGTGCGAGTATGGCAGCGACTTGTTACGTGAGTAACATCGAATACTCGATGCATTGAAAACATTTTTGGTATAATTCATGTAATTAATTAATTTAATCAATCAGAACATTTTTACGTTGTCAATGTAAATATGTCTTGAATTTCTTTTTAATTTCTATTTCTATTACTTTTTCTTCTTTCCATGATTAATATTTTATTTTATTAAACTTAAATATCGTAATACTTTTGTTGAAAGCAAAAAAATTGATCATGTATCTGATTTAATCAATGTTATATTTTTATTTCTGTTTGACAGTTGATGAAATTCAAGTAGCATCGTACAAAATGTTGGCATCTCTATATACTCTCGGAGTGGACGCTAGTTTGACTCACGATCGGAAGTATCTGAAGACAGAAATTGAGCGACACAAACCTAACTTGGGTTCTTGTTTGGGAGCTTTCTCGAGCTGCTTCCCAGTGGCCTTTCTAGAACCACACTTGAACAAGCACAATCAATATTCTCTCCTCAATCGAATCGCAGATCATTCTTTGGAAGCTCAAGATATCATGACAAAGATGGAGTCGAGTATGCCGACCTTGGAGACCATATTGAACGAAGTCGATCAGTTCGTTGAGTCCGAGAAAACCTACAATGACGCCCCTCACGTTGTCGACGTGATTCTTCCGCTGCTCTGCTCATATCTGCCCTTCTGGTGGGCACAAGGACCTGACAACGTGAATCCGACCGAAGGTACCTATGTCAGCATGGTTACCAGTGATCATATGAATCAATTGTTGAAGAATGTGTTGAAATTGATTAAGAAGAACATCGGCAACGAGAACGCACCATGGATGACGCGGATCGCTGCCTACACGCAGCAAATTATTATTAACTCATCCGAGGAGCTATTGAAGGATCCGTTCTTGCCTTTGGCGGAACGAGTGAGGAAGCGAACAGACAACATGTTCCACAAGGAAGAATCCCTTCGAGGTTTCATCAAGTCCTCGGCCGACGATACTTCGCAAGTTGAGGCGCAAATACAAGAAGATTGGCAGTTGCTAGTCCGCGATATCTACTCGTTCTATCCGTTGTTGATAAAATACGTTGATCTACAGAGAAATCATTGGCTGAGAAACAATATTCCTGAAGCTGAGGATTTGTATAATCATGTGGCAGCTATATTTAACATATGGTCCAAGTCGCAGTACTTCTTGCGTGAAGAGCAGAACTTTATATCCGCGAACGAGATCGACAACATGGTACTCATTATGCCAACTGCAACCAGAAGATCCACGGCAGTGTCTGACGGCACCGCGCCTTCTGGAGGAGGCAAGGTATGTATATAAGTTACTTAATAATAATTTAATCTTATCTTATTAATTATTATGCATTTTTATTACATAAACAAGTTTTAATTTTTCTAAAAAAGACTGAGATGTTTAAGGATCAAAAAAATGTTTAAACGTTTTTTCGGCTTACAGAAAAAGAAGAAGCACCGTGACAAGAAGAGAGACAAGGATAAAGAAGTGCAAGCATCCCTCATGGTTGCTTGCTTGAAGCGACTGCTGCCCGTCGGCTTGAATCTTTTCGCTGGTCGCGAACAGGAATTAGTGCAGCATTGCAAAGACAGGTTTTTGAAGAAGATGCCGGAAAACGAGATCGCTGAATTTGCTAAGACACAGCTAACGTTGCCCGACAAAATCGATCCTGCTGACGAGATGTCCTGGCAGCATTATCTATATTCTAAGTTAGGTCAGAAGAAGGACGCGATGGAACCTGTCAAGGCTCAACAGCTGGAGGATGTAGTCGCTAGGATCACCGACATGGCTAAAGTGTTGTATGGTTTACACATGGTCAGTTATAGATTCGTGCAACATTATTATTAGTAATCTTGAGATTTCCTATTAAATCTTTGAAATATTTAGAAAGACAGCTTCCACGATTCCGTCATTCTTTTTGATTTGCTTTGAAATTATTATTCCGTCACGTTTATGTTATGCAAAAAGTATCATTGTATGTCTCCAAAGAATCATCACTGTTGCGTCTTTATTTCATATTCATTTCACGCTTTTATATTCTCGAGTAGATAGATCATCCGCAACAGCAGAGCAAGGGTCAGTACCGATCAGTGGTGTCGATTCAACGTAAACGAGCGGTAATCGCTTGTTTTCGCCAAACTTCCCTACATTCCTTGCCCAGGTACCCTTGTTATTCGGTTACTGTTGCTTTGGTTATTCAGTAATCCCCTTAGATAACATCGTTGCGTTATCGGTTTTGTTTGTAGCATCATTTGATTTATCCTTATGTGCGATTGATTTATGTAGAATTAGTTAATTAGATATTTTGCTGTTTTCTTTTTGAGAGAAAAAAGTTAGACGATAAGAATCGATGAATTCTTGGGGTTTGATAATTGCGATGATTAACAAGAATAATTGTTGAACAACCTGATTTAACGAGTGCGCTTGTGGTTTGTGTACACGCGGCTAACAGGCGACAAAGCCACCACCATCGCGAGATGGATGGAAACGTGTGCTGTGCGCTGCCAGAAAAAGAGCAGCGATTGCATGTTTGCGTAGTGAGCCTCTATATAAGTTGAGAAGGTACGACCACTAACGCGAATTAATCTGCATTGTGTATAAAATATTTTGCGATTTCAACAAGATTATGCGACTCTATTCTTGCAGGCACCGAGCGATAAACATATTTGCGCGGACATATTACGAGCTGTGGTTACAAGACGAAAATGTGGGTCAAGAAGTCATGATCGAGGACCTAACAGTAATTGCGCTCTTTGTTGATACTTTTGATAACTTGCTGAATAAATTAATAAAAATATACATTTGCTTTGCACTTAGCAATCGTTCGAGGATGCCGAGTTGAAGAAAATGGACAAGGACGAGGATGAAAGCAAGCCCGACCCATTGACACAGTTGGTCACAACTTTCTGTCGCGGTGCAATGACTGAACGATCGGGTGCTCTCCAGGAGGACCAGCTTTATATGAGTTACGCACAGATTATCTCCAAATCTTGTGGTGAAGAGGAAGAGGAGGGTGAAGAAGAGGGAGGAGGCGAGGAAGAGGGTGGAGCTTCGATTCATGTAAGTATCTCCGATTGATAAAGTTCATTTATCTCCAAGTAATAAAAAAATTCGAAGGGTAATAGTTAATATAATAATTAAATTAATATATATATATATATATATATATATATATATATATGTGCGATTAACAGTAATTCCTACGTAGATAATTATATAGATAAAAGTGTACTTTATGTGCATTTTGTTGAAGAAAAGTTTATTATGTAATTTCGTGCGACATTTTTACGAAACGTGAATTTATTTATCTTCTTTGGTTGTTTATTTGATAAAATAATAAGGAAAATCCTTCAACAAGAGAGCTCTAGAGAAAATTTATCTATTAACAAATTCCCTATCTTTTTCTAACTTACTAATTCGCCTAGAAGCCGGCACATAAGCTACTTATGGTAAGAATAAGTAGTTAGTGCGAGAATCCATCCGCTTAATGTATGCTCGCAGTCCAAAGTGTCAATCATATGTGTTCTCCACATCTCGTCACCCGAATTTGTCGAATTGTACGTTGTTTTTTTCATTGACGTCAAGTACAATACTATGTACTATTCATGAGCAAGCGAGACATTGTAGGCTGTTGCAATCTTGTGTTTTCCTCGCTCGATCTATTACTAACAATATTACTGAATTTCCTATTCTTTGTTTTAACGTAACTCTCAAGAGGCCCATGCATAAATTAATGGTAAGATATATAATACTAGTACGCTGTATTATATTATATTTATATACGTTATAAAATAAAGTTGCACTTTTAAATTAATAGCAATAATTTAAAAAGAGCAATAAATGATAATTAGCAATAAAATTATAAATTATATGTCTAATTTATAAACATTTTTGCATTGTACATATTTGTAAAATTTATGCTTTCCTATTCTTCTGCTTTTATTATAATATGTTATCCTTTTACATAGGAACAAGAAATGGAAAAGCAGAAACTTCTGTTTCACCAAGCTCGACTGGCAAATCGGGGCGTTGCAGAGATGGTCCTCCTGCACATATCGGCCTGCAAGGGTGTTCCTAGCGATATGGTCATGAAGACTCTGGAGCTCGGCATTTCGATTTTACGCGGCGGCAATATCGAGATCCAGCGGGGAATGCTGAATCATTTGAAGGAGAAGAAAGACGTCGGTTTCTTCACGTCTATTGCTGGTCTGATGAACTCTTGCAGCGTGTTAGATCTGGATGCTTTTGAGAGGAACACAAAGGCCGAAGGTCTTGGTGTGGGTTCTGAGGGTGCAGCTGGTGAGAAGAATATGCACGACGCTGAATTTACTTGCGCTCTGTTTCGTTTCATCCAACTTACCTGTGAAGGTCACAATCTTGGTAAGTAATATTTTGTCATTATCAAAAAGCGAATTCGACCAAGTGACAGGTATGATTTTATCTCGTTTTTGACAGATTGGCAGAATTACTTAAGGACACAGGCTGGTAACACAACAACAGTGAACGTGGTCATTTGCACTGTGGATTACCTGCTGCGACTTCAAGAGTCTATCATGGACTTCTACTGGCATTACTCGAGCAAGGAGCTTATCGACTCCGCAGGCAAAGCGAATTTCTTCAAGGCTATCGGTGTCGCCAGTCAAGTGTTCAACACTCTTACTGAAGTTATCCAAGGTCCATGCGCTCAGAATCAACAGGCTCTGGCGCATTCGAGATTGTGGGACGCGGTTGGCGGTTTCCTTTTCTTATTCTCGCACATGCAGGACAAATTGTCGAAGCACTCGAGTCAAGTGGATCTTTTGAAGGAATTATTGAATTTGCAGAAAGATATGATCACCATGATGCTCTCCATGCTTGAAGGTACGCGCGTTTACTACAGATTCTGTTTAGCGAAAATAATAACAGGTGTGGTTGATTATTGTTTTCTGATTCTAGGTAACGTTGTGAACGGGACAATTGGAAAGCAGATGGTGGACACTCTGGTTGAGTCGGCTAGCAACGTGGAATTGATTCTCAAGTACTTTGACATGTTCTTGAAGTTAAAGGATCTCGTATCATCGCCAAGTTTCTTAGAAGTCGATGTTAACAATGATGGTTGGGTATATCCTAAGGATTTCAAAGAGAAGATGGAACAGCAGAAAAGTTACACCGAGTAAGTTTTTCAAATATTTTTTATCAAACTGTTCTTTATTTTCGCTTCCAGGTAATATTGAAATATTAATTTTTTAAAACGTTTCAGCGAGGAAATTGAATTTCTTCTGGCCTGCTGCGAGACTAATCACGATGGTAAAATCGATTACATTGCTTTCATGGACCGTTTCCACGAACCGGCGAAGGAGATCGGTTTTAATCTGGCTGTACTACTCACCAATCTTTCCGAACATATGCCTAACGAGCCGAGATTAGCCAGGTTCCTTGAAACAGCCGGTTCTGTTCTCAATTACTTCGAGCCGTTTCTGGGTAGAATCGAAATCCTCGGCGGTAACAAGAAGATCGAACGCGTGTACTTCGAAATCAAGGAATCGAATATTGAACAGTGGGAGAAGCCGCAGATCAAAGAGTCGAAGAAAACTTACTTCTACAACACAGTGGTCGAGGCCGGCGAGAAGGAAAAGCTCGAAACCTTTATTAACTTCTGCGAGGACGCCATTTTTGAGATGCAACACGCGAGCGCGTTGATGACTGTCGAAGAAAGTGGCGGAATCGGCAAGGCTAGAGAATCCTCGTATACTTACATGACCGATGACGACGAAGAGAGGAACAAGGACCCGATCAGACGAGGTATACAGGCCTTCAAGGACGGCGTTTACTACTTCTTCTACATGTTCTCGCCGACTAACATCAAAAACAAGATTGCTGAGATGCAACAAATGACAATTCCCGAGCTCTTCATCGGTTTCTTCAAGATGATCTTCTATGCATTCTATTATTCTGGTTTTGGTGTCGGCCTTGTTATCAAATATTTCATGAGACTTTTGCTAACGCTGATGAGAGGACCACATTTGGACGAGCCTGTTGTTGTCAAAGAGGAAGAGGAGAAACCGTCAAGACACTTACCCGCTTTGCCACCAACACCGGATGAATCAAATCTACAGGTAAGATTCTCTCAATACACTCTATATTAATATGCATATGCACACATTTAGAAAGTATATATTATCTTAAATATCTGTATTTACACAGGTACAAGCTTTCGGAATGGATATAACAAAAGAGGAAGGAGGACAAATAAAATTAGCGCCGCACGAATCGACTACTTCTACACCACAGTCCAGTATCGAAGAAACGGGCGAAAGCACCCCGGACGAAGGTACCGGAGAAGAGGGAGCTCGAGCTGAAGGAGCAGAAAGCGAGGCACCTGTCACTTTCGCCGACTTGCTTGGGTAAATATTTAGTAAATATGTGCTCTATATCTTATAATTAATAGGTTGTAAAATCCATATGGAATGATGTCGTAGGAATAGGAGTAAGTAGAAATGTTCAAATATATTTATAATTTATTTATTTTTCCGTACAAAAATTGTAGCGAACCGTAAATATTGTACAAAAACTGAGATTCTGAGTTTATAATATAATTGACAAAATTTTCTCGATTGATAAGAAAAGAGTAAAATTGATGTTATCTTTTTCGATTGCTCCGTACCTTGAGATATACATTACCATATGTTTAAATTACAATATTTCTGCTTAGAATAGAACTTGTAACAATTTGAGGTGCAAGTTGTAAAATGCGCAGTTTGATTTGTCGCTTATAATTGTATCAAAATCAAACATTGTTTTATCTTTTTTAATTAAAAAAGTTCTCGATAATATTTTAAACATCATTTAAATGATTATCACGAATTGACCTAACTATTTTGTTGTATAATTATTTTTCTTGTAATACATTATTATTTGTGACGTCTTTACAGTGGAGAACAAGCCAGGGCTCAAGCTGCCGCCGCGGCCGAAGCAGCTGCGGCTCAACAGGCGGCTATGGCAGCGGTCGAGGCCGAGGCGAAGCAAGAAACTATCGTCGAACCTTCGACAGGATCGAGTATCGATCTATCTGAGTACAGTCATCGCGTAGTATCTTTCTTGGCCAGGAATTTCTATAATCTGAAATACGTTGCGCTGATTCTCGCTTTCTGCATCAATTTCATGCTGCTCTTCTACAAGGTTTGTGAAAGCGTTGCAATGATTTATATACCTTGCTTCTTATTTTCAAATTTAAATGATAAAAAAAGTTTGGAAAATTAAAATTTCACGAACTTATGTACTTGTATGTCAAAAGAAAGTATAATAAGCTGAAGAATTTTAACATATATGTCAATTATTAATTTAGGTCACATCTTTGGGTGATGATTCGGACGTCGAAGGTAGTGGATCTTCTATGGCTGATCTGCTGGCGGAAATGTCGGGCGAGGGTCCATCGGGTTCAGAAGGTAGTGGGGTGGAAATAGGCAGCGGTAGCGGTGAAAATGGTTCGGAAGAGGAAGATGAAGATGTGCCGGAAATCGTGGAGGTGTCGGAGGATTATTACTACATGGCTCATGTTATGAGGTTACTGGCTGCCCTTCATTCCATCGTTTCGCTCGCTATGTTGGTTGCATATTATCATCTGAAGGTACATGGAATGCAACTATTAACAACACAATCCGATATTTAAAAATAAATTATTATTCTTAAAAGTGTGATGAAATATCTTATGTTGAAGAATCTTCTCGAATGATGTTCTGCTTCAACTTATGAAGAGCACACACACACACATTTGGATAATATTGTAGATATAATCGTGATAATTTATGAATATATTTATTTATTTAGGTACCACTGGCTATCTTCAAACGAGAAAAGGAAATTGCGCGACGAGTAGAATTCGACGGATTATACATAGCTGAAACGCCAGAGGAAGACGACATCAAAGCCCATTGGGACAAAATGGTGATATCGGCCAAAACTTTCCCCGTGAATTACTGGGATAAGTTTGTCAAAAAGAAAGTCCGACAAAAGTACAGCGAGACGTATGATTTCGATTACATCAGCAACCTGCTCGGAATGGAGAAGACTTCCTTCAGTCAACAGGAGGAAGAAGGATCCGGCTTGATTCATTTGTAAGTGAATATTTCGTAGTATTTTGTGCTTTTTTGGAGACTCTTTAAGTCGAAGAATATTTTCTCCGCAGCATTGTAACTATCGACTGGAGATATCAGATTTGGAAGGCCGGTGTCACCATCACAGATAACGTAGGTTCTCTTCAATAATTTCAACAAGATTGGCGCATATACGTATGGGCATATATACTATAAATAATTTATATTAAACATTTGTACACACACATAAAAGTGTTTCGATCGTTTTTAGGCATTTTTATACAGTTTGTGGTACTTCACGTTCTCAATCCTTGGCAACTATAACAATTTCTTCTTCGCTGCTCACTTATTGGACGTTGCAGTCGGTTTCAAAACTCTCAGAACAATTTTACAGTCGGTAACGCATAACGGGAAGCAGCTGGTCTTGACGGTGATGCTGCTGACGATCGTGGTATACATCTACACAGTAATAGCCTTCAACTTCTTCAGAAAGTTCTACATACAGGAGGAAGATGACGAAACGGATAAAAAATGTCATCATATGTTAACGGTATGCAGAACGTTCTCATATATGCTGGATTACTTTTACATATTCAGATCATAAAAATAGAACGATAATGTCATTCTTGGGAGTTGAAGGAAGAAGTATTAATTGCAACATAATTATCTTTTTATCTATATTAATTTTATGTCAAAGAAATATTCCTAATTCCAAAGTGTCGATAATATTTCTTTTCATTTGTCGGCAGTGCTTCGTTTTCCATCTGTACAAAGGCGTGAGGGCCGGCGGTGGCATAGGTGACGAGATCGGTGAACCCGATGGCGACGATTACGAGGTTTATCGTATAATGTTCGACATCACGTTTTTCTTCTTCGTGATCGTCATTCTATTAGCTATAATTCAAGGTGAGCACATTAAACATTAGATTGCGTCTCGAATTTATAGCCGTAAGAAAGTCACCACATAACACACGCATTCGATTCACAGGTTTGATCATCGACGCGTTCGGAGAGCTTCGAGATCAGCTCGACAACGTGAAGACGAATATGGAGAGTAACTGCTTCATATGTGGCTTAGGAAAAGAATATTTCGACGCGGTGCCGCACGGGTTCGATACTCACGTCCAGCAGGAGCATAATCTAGCGAATTACATGTAAATATTGACAAACGTTTCTAATTTAATAATTTTAATTTTGAAGTAACGTTTTGTTAGTGAAAGATAATCGTAAGATATTTTCACAAAATTATTTTTGAAAATACTAATTTGAATTGTTGAACGTAAGCGTTCGAATTTTCAGGGGAAAAATTGCCATTTATGTAAGCTACATGTAGTTATAAAATTGATAATGTCGGTTAACAGGTTCTTCCTTATGCACCTGATTAACAAGCCGGACACCGAGTATACCGGTCAGGAGACCTACGTGTGGAATATGTATCAACAGAGATGTTGGGACTTTTTCCCGGTGGGCGATTGCTTCCGCAAGCAGAACGAGACGGTAGAAGAGGAGGGCAAGAAGAAATAAAGAAATTGATCCTAATTCTCTAATTAAGGCGACCAATTGTTAGACCAAGCGATTTTACTTGACGAAGGGGACTTGCCTCCTCGAGCAGCGTCTTCGATAATTCTTAGCGTCAATTTTTGCTCATCGGACAGGAGTGCGAAGTCGGTGAAGTCCGTTCAGAATCAAATTTTAAAAAGAACTCTACATTTTACCTCACGTAATACGACGAAGAGAAATCTCACCTCGTAAACTTGTGTCTCCGTTTTCCATTTGACAGTTTATCGTTATTCCGACTAATTAAATAGACCGAGTCTCTGGCGTGTGAGTCTTAGTGCATTAATTAGGTACTGCGTATAGTGAAAGTGTTCAGACACGGAGGAATTCGCGCCTGATTCAAAAGTCGAGCGCGTGCGCAAGCGCGCGGCCGAAATTTAGTGAAATTGAACATATTTTTCCAACTTTGTAAGGATTGCTCTGAAAGGGTACCACCGAGATTTAAGGGGTTTTCTCCTTAAATCCGCTAGACTGGCGTCGATCGATCGAAGGTAGACGAAAACACCCGAGAAGCTTCCTTCGGCCGACGGTACATTGTTGAATCGATGAAACGGCGGAACCGACTGCACAAATTTACATATTCATAGCGTTACAATTGCCTTCTTTTCATACGTCGGGTGATCGTATTTGTGCATAATTTTTGCGCTGCGTCGCGGCGTTAACGTTTGAGATATATGATATAGTATAAGAGTAAGTTGAAGATACTTAAAGTTTATATAATGTGCAAATCTCTACCGCTACGAGAAAATGCGAACTTTTTGGACATTATTTATGACTGAGCTCACAGTATATATATCCGAGAAAATGTCAATATATTGTAAATAAAAACTCTACGACAGGACTACCTGATAATAAAGACATACTTCTTTACGTGATTGTCTCACCTTTTCTCCTCGATCTCTCATTTATGCGAATCATAATTGCATGTGATTTATGTAAATTAAACAGAACCGCAGACACATATGAATCTTAGCAGAAATTACTTTATTTTTCGATTTACCTAAATATTATGCATGATATTTCCCTCGCACTTTTGCACCGATCGATGCGATCGATTGCTCCTTTCGGCGGTCCCGTGCGACGTCATGACGCCGCGTCGCGTTGCGTCGACGTCGACGTTTACGCGCCCGCATAGTAAAATCTACTTGCTGTCTCGCAACCCAACGCACACCCAACCCGAGGGAAATCGGGGAGTGGAACAACAAGAGTAAAACGGCGTGTCCCTCCGCGCCAAAGGCGGAAGGAGGTCGCGCAAGCGCCTCGGCCGTGCCGCTCGCCGGCGAGGAGCCTTCAGGGTGAAAATGCACCATGGCATGGGAGGATCAGCGGGCGATCGTCACGGCGCTCAAAACTCAGCGATGCAGGCCAGGAACGGGGTCTGCGACAAAATCGAAAATTACATATCCGATTTGGCTCGATGGTACGTGAGTAACCGCGGAGGCAGCAACCCTAAGCGCCCACAGGAGCCACCGTGTGTTTTCCGCCCTGTGCCGAGTCAGTGGGGTCGGAGGGCGGGAGGGGGTGGACGACCCGGGGATGAAAGTAGCGAGTGTTTAGCTTTCTTCGGTTGTGCATTCTTCTTGCGATTTATACGGTGAGGTGTAATTGTGGTGCAAACGTGGGACTCGATTGAAAACTGCAGGATGTTAGATTACACGATAACGATCGACGACGAGTTGAAACAATCGTAACACTCTACCCCAGAAATTCAGACACTAGTGTTAGTGTAGTTTCGCATCCCCCTTGCTTGTGTGAGATTTGCACAACACCCTTTTCGTGCTTGATATACGTATGCTTCAGTTTTTGTCAGTTAACGTTTTACTTTAATGATCAAGAAGTTATCTGATTATTTGGAAAGTCCTTCACTGTTCTCTATTATTATTAAGTTAAGCCGATAAACACCGGGTCGCCTGGTCAGCTCGAGAATGTAATCTGGCCTTTACTTGGCTGATATTGTTTGATATCTTTTATCAAAGTAGTCTAACAGTGATAATGAGATATTTTATTGAGAACTAAAAACCGAATTTTAGCTAAAAAATTGACTAGAGAAAGTGAAATCAATTTTTTTGCGACATCATACTTTTGCAAATAAATTTTGAAATATTGAAGACTATTTACGTATTGACCTGTAATAAAATTTACAGCTTCTAAAATATATTTAAATTTAATTAAAAGCACTTATATATTTTTAAAATATATAACAAAATATAAACAAAATTATAACGATTGTTTGTTGATGTGTTATAAAACAGGGCAGTATGGAGGGCGATAATAATGGGCCAGTTCCTTTCATTGGTGCTGTGCTTCATGACACTCGTAAATCATCACATGAATACCGCCTTCAAACTTTCGCTTCCAACGGGTAATCTATATAGGAGAGACTTTTAATTTGGTTGAAATTTAATTTCGTTAAAATTACAATAATATCAATCTTTGTTCACCAATAAATACTAATTAAAAGTAACATTACATCAATGTTATAATTTCTTACTTAATTCAAATATAAGAGCAATACACTATATAGCATATATTATATATAACAGTTATGTCACACTAAGTGAAAAATTATATTTTTTATTTATTTATTTAATTAAATACGAGAAAATGTTTTTTTGATACACAGGAAAAAAAATATAGAAAAAACAACATAATATACAAAAAAAGTATAAAACAAAGAGAAAAAAACTAGAATTAAACATATATATATATATAATACGCAAAAAAGTATTAAGAAAAAGAAACAGTACATTGATATAATATTATTATTAGTTGGTGTGCAGTGGAGTCGTATCGAGGTGGCTAATTAGTCGTCGTTGTTTTTGCGAGACAGGTCAAAATCTTCCGCACTACATGATGATGTGCTTAGTCTACACGACGTGGATGTCCTGCAGAGGTGTGGGAAATGGCCTAATTTCCGTCATAAAGGCCCGTGGCTGGAGATACTTGCTTTTAGCTCTGATCGACGTTGAAGCATGCACTCTCATCACGTCGTCGCATCAATTTACCAGCCTCGCCAGTATACAGGTATATGAATATACAAGCGGATTCTTTATCGTGAGCACGCAGATAATACGGATGAAAACATATTTTTATTATATAATACGTTTTCTCATATATATATATATATATATATATATATATATATATATATATA